CAGCCAATGCCTGAACCCCCCATCCACGCATGCCCGCTTGAGGATAGTGCATTTCCGCATGGCAGCTAATGCCTGAACCCTCATTCCATGCACGCCCGCTCGAGGATGGCGCACTTCCCACGTGGCTGCTACCTGCTAGAACCCTCATCTTACGCGCTCCCGCTCAAAGATCGTGCACTTCCCGCATTCCCGTGCGCTGCCCCCAAGCGCTCTATGACCTCCCAAGCCACGATCCACCGTTCAAATCAGCCTGGCGAATGACCCAACCAGGTGCAGTCGTGAGCACCAGAATCAGACATACATATATATATATATATATATATATATATATATTCTTCGGTGGCGCTCCCTGTGGAGCCACGAACCCTGTGAGGGGTGTGCCGAAATTGGTGCGGCGGGCGCATGCGGACGGTGGCATTGGGGCCTTCGGTGGAGCTCCCTATGGCGCCACGGAACGATGAGGGGTGTGCCTTAACAGGCGTGGGGGACGCACGCGGGCTGTCTCACTGGAGCCTGCGGCTGAGCTCCCTATGGGGTCGCGAATCGTGTGGGAAGCGTGCAGAAATGGGTGTGGGTGGCGCACGTGGACGGTGGCACTGCGGCCTTCGGTGGAGCCCCCTATGGGTCCACGAAGCCTGTGAAGGGTGTACCGAAATGGGTGTGGGGGACGCATGTGGACGGTGGCTGGACGGTGGCACTGGGGCCTTCGGTGGAGCTCCCTATGGGGCCAGAAGCGTGTGAGGGGTGTGCCGAAATGGGGGCGGGGGGCGCACGTGGACGGTGGCACTGCGGCATTCGGTGGAGCTCCCTATGTGTCCACGAAACGTGTGAAGGGTGTGCCAAAATGGGTGGGGAACGCACGTGGACGGTAGCACTGGGGCCTTTCCTGGAGCTCCCTATGGGGCCGCGAAACGTGTGAGGTGTGTGCCGACTGGTGTGTGTGTGTGTGTTGTGTGTGTGTGTGTGACTGTGTGTGCGTGCGTGCGTGCGTGCGTGCGTGCGTGCGTGCGTGCGTGCGTGCGTGCGTGCGTGCGTGCGTGCGCGGACGGGCGGGCGGGCGGGGCGGGGGGCGGGCGTGTGTGTGTGTGTGTGTGTGTGTGTGTGTGTGTGTGTGTGTGTGTGTGTGTGTGTGTGTGTGTGTGTGTGTGTGTGTGTGTGTGTGTGGTGTGTGCGTGCGTGCGTGCGTGCGTGCGTGCGTGCGTGCGTGCGTGCGTGCGTGCGTGCGTGCGTGCGTGCGTGCGTGCGTGCGTGCGTGCGTGCGTGCGTGCGTGCGTGCGTGCGTGCGTGCGTGCGTGCGTGCGTGCGTGCGTGCGTGCGTGCGTGCGTGCGTGCGTGCGTGCGTGCGTGCGTGCGTGCGTGCGTGCGTGCGTGCGTGCGTGCGTGCGTGCGTGCGTGCGTGCGTGCGTGCGTGCGTGCGTGCGTGCGTGCGTGCGTGCGTGCGTGCGTGCGTGCGTGCGTGCGTGCGTGCGTGCGTGCGTGCGTGCGTGCGTGCGTGCGTGCGTGCGTGCGTGCGTGCGTGCGTGCGTGCGTGCGTGCGTGCGTGCGTGCGTGCGTGCGTGCGTGCGTGCGTGCGTGCGTGCGTGCGTGCGTGTGTGTGTGTGTGTGCGTGTCTGTGTCCGTGTGTGTGTCTGTGTGTGTGCCTGTGTGTGTGTGTCTGTGTCTGTGTCTGTGTCTGTGTCTGTCTGTGTGTGTGTGGGGGACGCATGTGGACGGTGGCTGGACGGTGGCCCTGGGGCCTTCGGTGGAGCTCCCTATGGGGCCACGAAGCGTGTGAGAGGTGTGCCGAAATGGGTGCGGGGGGCGCATGTGGACGGTGGCCCTGGGGCCTTCGGTGGAGCTCCCTATGGGGCCACGAAGCGTGTGAGAGGTGTGCCGAAATGGGTGCGGGGGACGCATGTGGACGGTGGCACTGGGGCCTTCGGTGGAGCTCCATCTGGAGCCACGAAGCTTGTGAGGGGTGTGCCGGAATGGATGTGGGGACGCATGTGGACGGTGGCACTGGGGTCTTCGGTGGAGCTTCCTAAGCGGCCACGAAACTTGTGAGGGGGTTGCCGAAATGGGTGTGGGGGTGGGTAGGGCGTGGGCGTGGGCGTGGGCGTGGGCGGGGATCCGTGAGGCCTTCGGTGGAGCCCCCTTATGGGGCCACGAAACGTGTGAGGGGTGTGCCGACATGGGTGTGTGGGACGCATGTGGACGGTGGCACTGGGGCCTTCGGTGGAGCCCCCTATGGGGCCACGAAACGTGTGAGGGGTGTGCCAAAGTGAGGGGGGTGACGGAAGGAGGGAGGAGTGGGAGGAGGGGGGGGGGGAAGAGGAGGAGGAACGCGGGGCACCGTCTCTTCAAAGAAGGATCCAACACCACAGCATGGTTGGGAAAAACAGATCTGCGTCCCAAACCTTCAACACGGCCCGCGCAAGGACGTCAACATGGCCCAAGGTGCCTCGAAGACGGCCCATGATGGCCCCACGGCGGCCGACTATTGAATTGCTGCAAGACGGCCCACGATGCCTTCAAGATGGCTCCAAAAAGGGCAACGGGAGGGCCCCAAACAGAATCCGAGGAAACCAAAAACAGGGGCTCCCCGTGGGTGTTTGACGGATTGCTTCTCGCATCTTCGGGCCGTCGTCAGCTCAAGACGGCCCAAGAGGACTTCACCACGGCTGAAGGGGCACCCAAGACGGCCCCAAGACGGCCCAGGATGGCCTCCTGCGGTGCCCAGGACGACCTTAGAGAGCCCGGCGACTGCCCAAGACGGCGCCCACACGGCCCCGCGACGACCCCCAGACGCCCACCGTACGGCCAAGAGGGCCCCAAGACGGCCTGAGAGAAACCCACGCCGGCGTAAGGGGGCCCCAAGTCGACCCACGAGGGCTCCCGAGGACCCCGAAGACTGCCCCACAGGAGGCCAAGAAAGCCCCAAGACGGCATCACCGAGTTTCATCAGCTTCATCATCATCATCATCATCATCATCATCATCATCATCATCATCATCAGCATCATCATCATCATAATCATCATCATCATCAGCATCATCAGTAGCAGCATCGTCATTATCAGTAGCAGCATCGTCATCATCATCATCATCATAATCATCATCATCATCATCATAATCATCAGAATCATCATCATGGTCAGTATCAGCATCGTCATTATCAGTAGCAGCATAGTCATCATCAGCAGCATCATCAGCATCACTAGCATCATCAGCACCATCGGCAGTATCATCAGCATCATCACCAGCACCATTATGCTACTCATCATCAGTAGCATCATCATCACCGATATCTGCAATAGCACCAGCATCACCATCATCATACTCAGCATCGTCCTCAGCATCGTAAACCCATCATCAGTAGCATACGCATCACCATAACAATGATCATCGTCATCATCATCAGCATGATCAGCATCATGATCATCACCAGCATCATCAGCAGCATCAAGATCATCATCATCATCCTCATCATCATCATCGTCGTCACAATCATCATCACCACCATCACCACCACCACCACCATCGTCATCAACATCACCACTATCACCCTCATCATCATCATAGTCATCACTAGCAGCATCGTTATCACCATCGCCGTCATGGTCAGCATCAACATCATCATCACCTCCACCACCACCACCATCAGCATGATCATCAATATCGTCATAGCCATCGTCATCATCATCACCAGCAGCATCAATATCAACTTCCTCATCACCATAACCATCGACCATCAGTATCGCAGTCACCATTATCATCAGCATCATCATCACCATCATCATCATCATCAGCATCACCGCCATCGTCAGCACCAGCACATCACCAGCACCACCACCACCACGACCACCATCATCATCATCAGCAGCAGCAGCAGCTGCTGCATCAGCATCAGCATCAGCATCAGCATCATCACCCACATCGTCCTCATAATCCTCATAACCACCACCGCCCTTCCAAGCCTGGAAAAACTAGGTGTCACACGTGACGGCCAGCCGTGCCCCCTCGAACGATCGCCCTCGAGAATGCTGGGGTGACTTGCGGGACTTGCCGCAGACAGCTGGATGGTACGTTAAAGTGTACAGCATGGCAACCCAACCCAACTCCCGAACCCAGGAGAAGTCGCTCATGAAGTCTCAAGGCCAGAGCGACTGGAGAAGCACAATTGTTTGGCAATTAGCTCGGATATTCTCTGCCAACTACCTTCGATTCGCTGCTGCGCATGAGCTGAACGCCCGCTCGTTCAAATCTCGCGCAGATACCACCCGCATCGACGGACCATGTCAAGGAGGTCTGGCCCGAAAACGAAAACAACTGAGCAGCGCAGGAGTGATGAAATCTTCAATCGGTCACACCTTTCCCCCTCTCCTCAAACTGTCTGCGGCATGCCCAGACTGTCTCCAGGCTCCCCGCACGACACGCTCCTTGCAAGGCACACTCTGCGCAAGCGCCAGTGGCCTTCAGCCTAACCCCTCCAAGAAAAAAAAAATCCGCCCTGCCAAGTCTGCCGCCCAAGGGCGATCCGCCAGCACCCTCGATCGGCTGACGTCGGGGCACGATGATGCAGGACGAAAACAGACGCACCGCTTTTCCAATCGCTGTGGCTAGCGAGACCGTCCCACAGCATCAAGCCAGAATCTGACCACTAATGACACTACATCGCCCACCGCCTCACCGCGCCAGGCGTATGCACCCATCGAGCGGAAGCACCGCGCCAAAGGGGCAAACCCGTCGATTGACGAGTCAGCCAGCCCAAAGCCTGATCGAATGACTAGGCAACCACAGATGAACCCTGCTCCTGCGTATCAGATGTTTGAGAAGCGGGCTGGGGCTTAGAATTTGAAGGATGCCTGCAGCCAAATAAAACCCGAGGGTGTCCGATTCGACCCGTGGGGGTGGGGCTCGCAAAGGGTCGGAGAATGACTGCGTGAGGTCCATATGCTTACGTGCACGACGGATACAGCATTGCATGTATGAGCGAAAGCTTCTCACGAGGCAGCGGCGCACCAAAGATGCTTAAGATGAGGAGCACCAACGCGTAGAGCGGTAGGAAGGTGTCCCTTGCGGCACGGGGCATGTTAACAGGGGAAGGAGGATATTGGCGAGGCAGAACATCATCAGCAGCAACAACACCCTAGTCTCACGAATTACCCAACAAAAACCTTCTTATTCCCGCGCTCAAGTTAACTCGCTTTGGCCAGGCACCTCGTTCCATCTGGAGAAGTGACGCAATGGATTTGTGGTTGAGTGTGCCGAGCACCCCATCTAACCATTCTGAAAGAAAGATGGGTCTGAAGACATATGTCAGCATGCGCAGAAAGGGCCGGATCCAGGAACCCTGGACTGAAAGCAAACAAAAACCTGGCCAGGACCCAACCCTTAGCAACTTGATGCAACGTTGGTCATGAGCCTCTCTTTGCACGGCCCGTGACAGGGATGTGGCGTGCAACGTCGGGGGGAGCGCGAGCAAACGTTCCAACTGGCCCGTCCTCCTGGGCTCTCCAAGCTCGCCAGCTCGAGGGAAGTCGAGCAGTGCCGTAATCGGAGTCGAAGGGGAGCCTCCTGCCTTTGATCCATTCCCACGCCGGGGGGGGGGGTCCGCAAGGGGGGAGGTCCTGGCGCCCTGGGTAGGCACGCCCCCCTAGGAGAAGCTGTCCCCCCCCTCTTCCGTGTCATCTTCAGACAAGTTTGCCCCTCCTTCGGTCGGCAACTCCAGTCCAGCCAAGACGGTCCAAAGGGCCCTGAAACGGCCCGAGAGCGCTCCAAGACGGCCCACGATGGCCTAAAGACGGCCCACGACACCCCCCGGACGCCCCAAGAGGGCTCCAACTGCATGTCCAAGGGAGCCCCAATAATGGATGTCCCATTTACGTTCCAAAGATACCCGCGTTTCAACTTGTTCAGGCTTCCGACAGCCCAAGACGATTGGCGTTTAAGTTGTTTCGGGCTTTCAGTAATCCGTGACGGCCCATAAGGTCTCGAAGATCACCCATAGATAACCCAAGAGGCCCGCAAGAGGGCCTCAAGACAGCCCAAGACGGCCCAAGATGCTGCCGGAGAAGGCTGAGGAGGCCCCAAGGCTCCCAGCAGGGCCCTAGAGGGGCTAACCGCCACAACCACCACAACAAGCCACCACACCACCACAACCACAACCACCACCACCACCACAACCCACCACCACCACCACAACCCACCACCACCACCACCACCGTCGTCCTCGTCGACGCTCCCCGCCACCGCCGCCCGCCGCCGCAGGCGCCGGCCGGCGCCGGCTCAGAAATGGAAATCGTCGTCCCCGCCGCCGTCGCCAACCGCCGCCGACGCAAGCGCCGGCCTGAAGAGAGGGGAAGCAAGGGGGGGACGGGGGGGGGGGGGTTGAACCCCCTCCTCTCCGTTAATGGAGGGAGGGGGGGGGGTTTGAACCGCCCCCTCTGTCACGGGAGGGGGGGGGGGAGGGGTTTCGTTTCGACCCCCCCCCCTCTCCATCAAGGGGGGGGGATCCGGTTCCAACCCTCTCCCCCTCCAAGCAACCACAGAACGCGCTCTTTCCGACCTAGTCGTTATATTCAGAACTCCAGAACCCCTCCTTCCTCCCCTCCTCCCTCCAGCCGAGAGGCGCGCCAAGTAGAGGTCAAAAATCCCACCCCCATAACAACCACCCCGACAGTCGTTCAGTAAACGCGCCCGAAGAAGGAATCGAACAGGGCGGGGCTGTTTGATAAACGCCCAGGGCCGTTTAGTAAACGCCAATTGTCCGGTCCGGGTGGTTTTTCCTCCCTTGACCAAAGGGCCTGGCCAGAGGGGGGCGGTCCTGGGGGGGAATGCGGCCATCATTGCTCGCCTGGTGCTGCGCCACCGCGCGCAGTGACGCGCGCGCGTGTCCGCCCCTCCGATGGGGTGCGCTGTGGGCAGCACGCTATGTTACACCCCCAAGCTCGTTTAAATCAATAGTGTGGTCAAGCATTCCTCTGGCCATCATTATCACCCTCCTCGTCCTCCTCCTCCTCCTCCTCATCAGCAGCAGCATCATCACCGTCGTCGTCATCATCCAAATCATCACAATCATCATCCTCCTCCTCCTCCTCCTCATCATCATCACCATCACCATCGCCATCACCACCACCACCATCATCACCAGCATCAGCATCAACATCAGCAACAAAGCACCAGCATCATCACCAGCATCACCATCAGGATCTGCATCAAAATGATCATGATCATACTCATCATCATCATCATCATCATCATCATCATCATCATCATCATCATCATCATCATCACCATCATCATCATCATCACCACCATCATCATCATCACCGTCACCGTCATCGACACTATCATCACCATCACCATGATCATGACAATGATCATGATCATGATGGTGATGATGATGATCATCATCATCATCAGCATCATCCTCATCCTCGCCCTCATCCTCATCATCAGCAAACCTGATCATCCTCATCGCAATCATAAGCATCATCGCAATCACCGTCGTCATGATCATCACCACCAACAACAGCATCATAACCAACATGCACATCATCATCACCATCATCATCATCAGCATGCACATACTCATCATCATCATCATCACCACCATCACCACCATCATCATCATCATCATCATCATTATCATCATCATCATCATCATCACCACCACCACCACCACCACCACCATCATCATCATCATCATCATCATCATCATCATCAGCATCATCATCATCACCAGCACCATCATCGTCATCATCACCGTCATCGTGGCCATGCTCACGACCTTTGTGGGCCCCGGAAACGACAGGGCCGTTTTTTCACCGTTTCCCAAAAAATGTCCCTTGAAAATGGAAACGGTTAAAAAAAACGACCGGAAATGGCAAAAAAAACGGCTCCAGGATTGCAACCGGAGCCGGAACCGGTCACAAAACGGCGACGGAACCGGTAAAAAAAGGCGTCGGAACCGGCAAACAAAGGCAAAAACGGAACCGGTAAAAAAAACGGCCCTGTCGTTTCCAGGGCCCACGAAGCTCACGACCACCGTCCTGACCTCCCCTTGCTCGTGCACTGGATGCTCTGGGAGGGCTCGTGCTCAGGGGAGCTCCTGCACCGCCCCGCGCGCCGCGCGCTGCGCGCGCCGCGGACAGCCCACCCCCCGCCGGCGGGGGGGGGAGGCGGCGCGCCTGACGCGCCCCGCCGGAGCACATCTCGCGATGGAGCTGCCGTCGGTGCAGCTGCGCGCGGGCGCGGCGGGGTGCGTCGGGCGCGGCGGGCCTCGGCGGGGCCGCGGGCCTCCCGGGGGGGGAGGCCCGCGCGGCCAGGCGGCCAGGCGTGTGCGCCCCCTGGCAGCAGGGCGCGACCCCTGGGCGGGTCCAGGGCCAGCCCTGGGACCCCCTGGGTGGAGGAGGGACACCTGGGCTTTTCACTTTCTAACTTAATTCTGTGTTTATATTATAATGATACTGCGATTTAGAATAATAACGTATATTTCTCATCTAGAGACATTCGTAGAAATAAGATAGGAAAGGCGCTAACTTCGGTGTTCCCCCTCCAGGGATCGGGCGGCGCTGCTCTGGCACGGGCCCCTTCCGAGCGAGGATCACGGGTCGAGGGCGAGGAGGCCTGTCGCCACGGGAGGGGCCCCCCGGGAATTGCTGGCCAGGACGAACCTCGGAGCATGTCCAGGAGTCGACCCTTAATCCCCAGACTCTTGCCGTCGCTCGGACGTCTACTCCCCGTGCTCATTTTTCGCAAGACGACCCAGGGTGTTCCCCGATGGTCCTCGCCGAGAGGATAAACGCACATGTCCGAGCGATGCCAAGGACTAAGTGGCGACATCCGATCCCTAACCCCACCAACCATCGTTCCCCGCCGCCCTCCGATTTGCCTGACACGCTGATCGGCGAAAATATGGTTCGGATTTTGCCGCCGACGGACCGAAAGCTCCAAGCGTCTGAAAATCTATACGGGATCCTTTCTTGTACGTAATCTTCGGCCTCTCGGAGCAAAATGTGGGACTCCGGGGCCCCAAACAATGTGTTTGTGGCCATCTATGCTGTACCAGTCTCTGTGGTGCAATCTACGTTTTGCAACATATGTGGTGTACCCTGCGTGGTGTAGCTAATTTGGAAGCGCGTGGAGCTGTCAACTCCACTGCTCGCGCAAGTACCATACCTCCCACCAACTTGATTTGAAAATCCCATGCGGCGGCGATTGCGATGGCTGTTTGGCGCTGACTGGCGCACTTCTGCGGCCGCGCTGGCGCGCGCAAGCGCGCGCGGAGAGCGGTCAGCTAGATTGGCACAGTGGCACTGGCAACGCGGCCGTGGTGGCGCTGACCGATGGGGACTTCCTAGCGCGTCTCACAGGCCGCGCTGGCGCGCGGGCGCTTCTGTGCGGGTCGGTAACTCGGGCGGGCGCGGTACCATAGTGACGTCGACAACGGCGAACACGAAGATATTAATAGCGATGATGATGACGATGATGACGATGACGACGGCAAGGCCAATGACGACGCCGATGCTAGTCATACCGATGACGATGATGATGCCCACGCGTCGCTCACGAAAGTTGTGGAAGGAATTATTTCAGCATGGGCGCGCTGCCGATGCGCGCGATTGGCCGCCTGGTATTGTTTGACAGGGGTCGTGCCCCCCAGCAAGCGCGCAACGGCTTTCGAACAATTTCGACATGCGCGGCGCGCGAGAGGCCCGCGTGGTCCCATTTGAAGAAGATTCTGAAACACATTCATGTCTTCACCCACAAAAACGCAAGAACGCGCGCAAATCGGCTCAAAACGATCTACTGCTGTTAATATCACTCCGGGGCCTATAACTTGAAATCCTTACATCAACCAAGAGATGCGTGCCGAATTTGGACGTGCGCGCGACGACCTGAACGAATGGATGTTGTCCCATCTGTTGCACGGTATGTTCGAAACTGCATGAAGATGGGTAAACGAATGCGCGCGAATAGTACTATTTGACAAGGGATGGGCACAATAAGCGGATTCTCTGCGTTATGGAGAATAGACGCTGTTCGATCTAAGTAATGCGCCTTACGTTGTGCAATCTGAGTTGTGCAGTCTCTGTTGTGCCATCTGTGTGGTACAAACCTGTGTGGTGCACACTATGTGGTGCAATACGTGTGGTGCAACCTTTGTGGTGAATAATACGGGGTGCAATATGAATTGTGCACTCTAGGTGGTGCAGTCTACGTTGTGCAATCTATGCGGTGCGACTAATTTCTGTTCGCAGTGAGTTGTCCTCTCCACTGCTGGCGCAAACATCCCACCCACCCGCCCGCAACTTGGTTTGCAAACCTCATGCGGCGGCGATTGCGATGAGCGCTTGGCTCTGGCTTGTGCATCTCCGCGGCCGCGCCAGCCCGCGCATGCGCGCGCGCAGCGGCCAGGTAGTTTGGCGCGACCGACGAGGCCGCGGTGATGCTGACCGCTCGGCACATCCCAACGGGCACTTGAGTGCGAGTCGGCGGCTTGGGCGGGTGCGGTACCGTGGCAACGTCGAGACTTTGACGATGATAGTGGCGATGTTGATGGCGACAATTGTAGACACGATGGTGATGATGGTGGCGATGACGGCGCCGATGCCGATCACGCAAACGACGATGACGGCGTCTTCGCGTCGGTGATGAAGGTGTTGGGGGGATTTCGAAATGCGCGCGCGGCAGACGCGCGCGTGTGCCCATTATTTTACACGGATCGTGCCACCCCAGCACGCGCGCAAGGGCGTTCGAACGATTCCGACATGCGCGCGCGAAGCCCGTTTGGTAGCATGTTATGAAAAAGTTGACAAACGCGTTGTTCCCGTAAGAATTCGCAAGAGCGCGCGCGCACGCTTTTGTTGAATTTCCATGTTGGGAAACCTTATGTGTTTGCATGCTTTTGGACACTCGAGTTTGAAATCGTTCCAGAACCGAAGGTGTTTGAAGGATTTCGGCATGCGCGCGCGACGACGCGCGCGTGCACTTCGTCTGATGTTTGTTCAAGGGGTTCTCGCGACGGCACGCGCGCAAGGGCGTTCGAACGATTTCGACATGCGCGCGCGAAGCCCGTTTGGCAGCATTGTCATGAAAATGTTGAAAACCGATGGTTTTCGTAAGATTTCGCAAGAGCGCGCGCGTAAGCTATCTTAGAACATCTGTGTTGCAAAACCCTGTGATTTTGTATGTGTTTGGGGAACTCGACTTTGAAATCGTTCCGAAACCGGAGGTGTTTGAAGAATTTCGGCATGCACGCGCGACGACGCGCGCGTGTGCACTTCGTCCCATTGGTTGCAAGGGATTCTTGAAAACTTATGATTTGTGCTAAACTAATGTGCGCGCATAGTATTTGTTGCAAAGGATGGCGTGGGGGGCCGATACCGGTTTTGGCTGGGATACTATGAATTCACTGGTAGGATGGACATTGGGTCAGCATCCAGTCTTTTGCGTCGGTTCCCGGGGGGTCCTCAACCCGGGGGGGGAGAGGGTGGTAGAACCGATTCGTTTTACAAAAAGAAAAGGGGATCTAAGGCGGCGACAAGGCGGGCGACGAAGAGGCGACGGCGACTACGGAGCCACCAAACAGGCACCCAGGCCCAGACGACGGGCGGCGACAGGGCGGCGACAAGGCGGCGGCGGCGACAACATAGACGCCAGACTTGCACCGGCACCCAGGCCCAAACGACTGGCGGCGACGAGGCGGCGACGGGGCGGCAACGGCGACCACGGAGCCGCCAAACTGGCACCCATGCCCTGACGACGGTCGTCAACGAAGCGGCGACAAAGCGGCGAAGGCCACCACGGAGCCGCCAGACTGGCAGCCAGGCTGCGTTAGTTCCCTCAGACTACGAAATAAGCACTCCTAAATGCAAGCGTAATTCGGGCGCTGGTGGGGCGGAGCCGCTATGTGGGCGCTGCCAGTGGTGCTTCAGGCGGGACGCACCACGGGGCCGCGAAAAGTGACGGGTGCGCCACACTGGGGCGGGGGCGCCACTGGGGCCTTCGGTGGGGCTCCCTATGGGGCAACGAAACGCTGTACTAGGTGGGGAGAACGCATGCCAGTACAACCACTGGGCCCTTCGGTGGAGCTCATCATGGGGCCACGAAGCGCAGTGCTGGGTGGGGGGGCGCATGCGAACACCGCCGCTGGGGCCTCCAGTGGAGCTCCCAATGGGGCCACGAAGCGCTGTACTGGGTGGGGGTGGCGCATGCGGGCGGTGCCACTGGGCCCTTCGATAGAGCTCCCTATGGGGCCACGAAGCGCTGTAGTGGGTTGGTGCGAAGCATGCGGGCGGTGCCACTAGGGCCTTCGGTGGAGCTCCCAATGGGGCCACGAAGCGCTGTACTGGGTTGAGGTGGCGCATGCGGGCGGTGCCACTGGGGCCTTCGGTGGAGCTCCCCATGGGGCCATGAAGCGCTGTCCTGGATGTGACGCATGTGGGCGGTGCCACTGGGGGCTTCTTTGTCTTGGAGCTCTCTTAGAGCATGCTGGAGGCCCTCTGAGCCGTTTGAGACGCCTCGTGGGCCGTCTGGGACCCATTTGGGCCATCTTGGGGTCGATTCGGAAACGTCGTGGGCCACCTTGATGGCTGCCAGATCCCTCCCCAGAGCCGAGTTTTGATCCCTCGAGCGCAGACCCGTCCTCACACTCCACCTGCGGTCCAGGTCCTGGCCCTGGGGCCCTCCGAGCCCTGTCTTTGGTTATGAACGCAAGTTTGTCTTCCAAGAGGGTTGGGCGGCAAGACGGATGCGCTGGCCTGCCTAGGCGCCCCCGAACCGCCAGGCGGCGAGGGCGCACGGATCGAAACTAGCGAGTCTACGAGCAGAACGTGCATGGGTGCACGGGAGGAACTAACGAGTACCCGTCGGTCGGGAGAAATGGGCAGAAACATGAAATAAGGGGGATCGGGCCTCGTGCCGCTACCTGAAAAGGCGGGAAGAGGTAAAACCGCTCGAAACTTGAAGCAGCAAGGCACCCAAGGTAGATTGGGACCTGGGGGTCCAGCAGCTCCTGCTTTCAACGACCGGCGTGTACGGGAAAAGCTGGGCCCGAAATGCGCTGACAGCCCCTGCAGGTCCCCAGAGGTCTCCGGAGGTCCCCCGAGGTCCACGAGTGCCCGGAGGCCTCGGGAAGCCCATGGCTGCCCGACAAGAAAGGGGGGCGGGGGGGAAACCGCTCGGACAGCTCGAGCCTCCCTTCGCCGTGCCCCCTCGGCGATGACCACACGAAGCGTCGGCGGGCCTGCGTGCTGCAGCATGCAGGGGCAGAGGAAGAGCAGAGCCTGTAGGCCCCGCGCGGTCGGCCAAGAGAGGGAACGAGCGGTGTGCCTCCTCCTCCTCCTTCTCCTCCTCCTCCTCCTCCTCCTCCTCCTTCTCTTCTTCTTCCTCCTCCTCTTCCTCCTCCTCCTCTTCCTCCTCCTCCATGCCAGCTCCGCTTCTCCTTCTCCTCCTCCCTGCCAGCTCCGCCTCTTCGCCCACCTCCAGCCCTCCCTCGCCCACGCAGCATGCGAAGGGCGTGCGATGGGTACGCCCGCAGGCGGCGGGAAGCGCCGCAGCGTCACCCGGCTGTTGAGGCAAGGGCGACCCAACGCATGTGAACGGGAAGTCACAACATGTAGGGGGTAGCTAGGTAGGGGGCCACATGGGAGCCCTCCCCCTTCAGAAATCGTGGGGGGTAGGGGTAGGGTACGCATGTGGCCCCCTACTGGGGACAAGCAGGTGTCACATACGTTACGGCAGCGCGGGCGGCAAAGCGGCGGCGCTGCCCGCCTGCCGAAGGGGAGAATGTTCAGGGCTGCGGCCAGGATGCCTCCCCTCACACGCTAGGGAATCGGCAGGACAGAGAAGAGGGCAAAGTGGCAAAGGAGACGCCCAACATATGGGCCTCTGGTGTGGATGGTACTCGGGACTACGCCATCGCGAAGGGCAGCACTAGAGAGGGATGGGGGGTACGACAATGACTGCGCGAGGGTAGTGGAAACGAAGAGAACATAACGCATACCCTGCGAATAATAACAAGTGCCATGGTGCTGCAACAGCTACTTCCGATGAGACTTCGACAGACAATCCCGACCACCTGGCATACACAAGACGAGCCCAGGATGAGGGCAAGAATGGGAGGCAGGGGTCAATCGGAAAGATCAGGCAGCGGCAAATCTGGAGGTGCAATGGGGGTCAGGGCTACTCTAGAGCGCTCTGGTACGCTCTGAGACCACCCCAGAGCGCTCTGGAGCGACATATTCTCATCCTGGGCCTGCCCGATCGCTGTCTCCCCAGTGTCCCTGGGAGGCTCCCGCGGACTCTGCAGGCGGTCTGAGATCGCCTCGCACTCACTGGCGTGGCCGCCGCAGCGTTCCAGTAATTACCTCCCAGGGGTGCCCGACGACACCTCCTGCTTGGGGCGAACACCGGCGGCGGGCCAGCCTGCTGGCCGCTCGCCGCCTGCTGCGCCCGACCACTGCACCGCCATGTCGACGGGCCCTTGGGCGCTGCGCCGCAGGCACGGCCCCGCTGCGCCGCCTCTGGCGCAGGGATTGCCCAGCAGCAGCGCGGGGCCTTGGAGGTCGGCGGCCTCCTCTGGGAGGCCTCCAGGGGCGTCCAGGAAGGCCCAACTCACACGGGCACGCTGTTGGTCCGACGCGGCGCTGGGTCATGTCGAGCCCTGCAGGGATGCGGCCAGGGCGATCGTTCGACCTTGCGTGGAAGCGTGCGCAGTTGTGAAGACCACCGAAAAGTCGGACGCAGTCGAGCGCTGGGCAGGAGTGTGAGCAGGCGATGCAGGAAATACACGCAAACAAAACAAAACTCCCCAGAGCCAGTGTTGTGCCTTCCCCCCCGCAACACAGGACATATACTTAGGTCTGGCCTGTCCCCCTACAGGGGGATTTTCGACGAAAAAAATACCCCAACAATAATCAAACAATTTTCCAAACATAGTCTGGGGACTATTTTTTGAGTATGTGTTGTCCCTTCTGGTGCATTTTTGGTGTGTGTTTATCTTTCGTCGAAAATCCCCCTGTAGGGGGACAAGCCCGACATAAACCCATACCTCTGGTGTCGCGACGTTTTCTTGTCGCAGCGTGGAACCCCACGGGAAACATCCGGACTGCGCTCGGGTCGGCTCTTCGTCCCTGGCCGTTCATCTCGACGGCCCCGAGTCCCGGAAAAGGGCCCCCCTCGACGGTTCCTCGACGGTTCTTCGTCCCTGGCCGTTCCTCGACGGTTCCTCGACGGTCCCGAGTCCCGTTCCTCGACGGTCCCGAGTCCCGGCACAAGAAGCCGAAACCTGTCAACAGCATCTCTCGACGCGTTGCTTCGGCCAAGACAAGGTACACTCCCAAGCTCAAGATCGCGGATCCACCGAGGACTCGAGCATCGGCCAGAGATTTCGAGACATGGCCCGCGTTCGTCGTTGCCCCCCCTCGGGGAAAACCCTCTCCCGACATCTCCCTCCCCAATGTCTCGAGGAGCCTGCGATCTGCTCTGGCCCTCGCGGCTTCGGAATTCTGGGCGTCTGTTCTGAGCTGGCGACGTTTGGTTCACGAAGCCAGCCGTGCACAAGAACCACGGCCATCTCTAGACGAGAGCTCTCCACTACTCGCAAAGTGACTACTCGCAAATGGTCTGGATCCGCTGGGGGGAACCTACGAGAAATAACATCGAAGCAGACACGTGTGTTTTCGGACGTTTGCGAGTAGGCACTTTGCGAGTAGTGGAACACGGTCGGTGAATCTAGACGGCCTCGCGGTCCGGGCTTCTCGGCCGCGACCCTACGGCCCATGTGCCGGGCGGCTTCGCGCGGATGCCCCGCGCGGAACGAAGACACAAAGGGGATACAAAAAGGTACCGATACCGCTACTCCCCGGACCTCTCCTGGGGTGCGTTGTGACCAGAATTTCGAGGCGAATCCAGCGGTGGCGACGAGGGCCTCCCAGGAGGACCAAAAATGGGAAAACGGGCGAGGGGGGTAGAGGTATGGGTACGGTCGGACCTAGGACAGAAGAACATCCCTCAAGAACTTGAGACCCTCCGCCAGCCCAACCACACAGAACATCCAAGGGTACCCTCCCCAGGATGCACAAGAGCATCCAACAAACACGAAGAACACTAGGGTACCCTCCCCGAACCGACCTCGATCTTATACCTTGGTTCGGCTGTATCCTTTCCCTCTCGGAATAAGATCTCGCATCCACCAGACAGCGCCACGGTGTTCAGACCGCGAGGGCAGGGATGCGAACATGTTCCAGGGTTAGGTCGGGCCTGTCCCCCTGCAGGGGGATGTTGGAGGACACGTGAAAAATACCCCACAACGCTCAAACTCTATTCCAAATTCGCCCAAACATCGTCCCCAGACTATCTGTTGTCACTATTTTCGAATATTCCTCCTGTGGAGGGACAGGCCCGACTGAGTTCCAGGGGCTCGAAGCTCGCCCCTCTCGGGGGAACCGAAGACACCCGTGCCCATGCCGCTGCCCCACGGCCCCTGCCCTGGGGCGCGCTCTGCCCTGCCTCCCGAGCAGAGCCCGGGCGCAGAGACGGGGGCCCCCCAGGCGAGCGGCAGCCTCGGCACTCCGAGCTTCTTAGGAATCCACTGGGGGGTGGCAAAAGGCGAGAACGCGGCGCGGCCACCCTCCCCCCCCGGCACCACCCCCGCGCCCCGGCGGGGAAGGGAACGAACCCCAGACCCCACCCCCTCTGGCACCCCCGCGGACGCGCCGCGGCCAGCCCCCCCTGGCACTCCAAGGGGGGGGACGATTGCCAAGCGATCCGGGATATCTTCTTCTCCCTTGACCCCTGAGCAGGACGAGGAGAACTCGGCTGCACGTGAGAGTGACCCTAGGCAAGAGGCACCTTCGGTGCGCGGCCCAAGGGTGCCGAGGCGAGGCCAAATCCAAGCGCGCAGGTCCATGCTGGGGGGGCCCTGTGAGCCCGCGCCAAAGGTTCGGCGGCGAGCGAGGGGGAAGCGAGAAGGGGAAGGCCTGCTCAAAGGTTCGGATGCCACCCGGCCTGCCGAGAAGCTCTCGGAGCCTCCCCCGAAGACACCACACAACCTCGCAGGGGGCGCGAGGGCTTCTGAGAAGTCCCGCCGCCCTCTGAGTGTGCATTGTCCTTCTCAGTTTCCCCCCTCGCTCGCCGTCGAAAAGTCCCACGGTGAAAGGTCACTCTCACGCGCAGCTGAAGGGGCCCCAGGACACGCAACTAAATACACACAAATATCATGGTTCCCCCTATTTTCCAATATTTTCTGGCTTTCTGTCTTCCCCCCCCCACGTCCCATATTTTTCCATATTTTCTGGGAATCGACGATTCATTGTGTCTGAGCAGCAGACAACGCACGGCCCTCCTCCCCGCCGCAGCAGCCGGCGATGACGGCCGGCGACGAGGGCAGGAAGCCCGTGGCGGCCGCGGCCGGGCGCTCCACGCAGATGTCCGCTAGCGTCTCGGCCTGGCCGCCGCGCCGCTCCGTCGTCGTCGTCGTCGCCGTCGTCGCCGTCGTCGTCGTCGTCGTCGTCGTCGGCGTCGTCGTCGTCGGCGTCGGCGTCGGCGTCGGCGTCGGCGTCGGCGCCGTCGTCGTCGTCGGCGTCGTCGTCGTCGTCGTCGTCGTCGTCGTCGTCGTCGTCGTCGTCGTCGTCGTCGGCGGCGGCGGCGGCGGCGGCGGCGGCGTCGATGTCGTCGTCGTTAGCGTCGTCGTCGCCGTCGTCGTCGTCGACGTCGTCAATGGCCGCGTCGTCGTCGTCGTCGTTAGCGCCGTCGTTGTCGTCGTCGTCGCCGTCGTTTGCGTCGGCGGCGTCGTCGTCTTTAGCGTCGTCGGCGCCGTCGTCGTCGTCGTCGTCTTCGTCAACAGCGTCGTCGTCGTCGTCGTTAGCGTCGTCGTCGTTGTCGTCGTCGTTAGCGTCACCGTCGTCGTCGTCGTTAGCGTCGTCGTCTGCCTATTTAGCGTCGTCGTCGTTGTCGTCGGCGTTGTCGTCGTCGCCGTCGTCAACGTCAGCGGCCTCTGGCGGCCTCTGGAGGCCTCCGACCGTCAGAGGCTCGCGCGGGCCTTCTGGTGCCCTCGGGCAACCTCGGAGGCCCTCGGCAGCCTCGATGGCAGCGCGGAGGGTCGTCGTCGCCGCCGCAACCGCCGCCGCCGCCGTCGTCGTCGTCGAGCTATTGTCGTCGTTCGTGTCGTTGTTAGTGTCGCCGTCGTCGTCGGCGTCGTCGTCGTCGTCAGTTTCGTCGTCGTTGTCGTCGTCGTCGTCGTCGTCGCCGTCGTCGTCAGCGTCGTCGTCGTCGGCGGCGTCGTCGTCGTCGGCGGCGTCGTCGTCGTCCGCAGCGAACTTCGAGGATCGAGTTCCGAGGATCTGGGCCGAGGGTCAAAATTGCTGGGCGCCCCTGGGACTCCCTCGGGCCTCCAGAAGGCGCGCTCGTCGTCGCGGCTGTGCTCCCCGCGAAGGGCGCACCCCCGAGAGAGGCCTGGTCGCGAGAAAAAGTGCACACGTCCGAGCGACACCTAGGCGCAGGGTATGCCTCGCTTTGGAGCCGGCTGGGGGGCTGAGGTGGCCTAGCACTGGTTCCGGCCAGCAGTGATGGGGAGGGTGATGCGTCCCCTCGTCGCCACCGCTGGACGCGGCTCAACAAATTTGTCAGCTTCGACCCTTGGAAAGGTTCTGGGGACTGATCTTCGGAAAACTTGTCATCCCCCCTCTTGACCGACTGTCTCTGGGCTTATACAGCTCAGAACCCCTGGCCGCCTCAAAGCCTCGCCACAATTGTGCTGACAGGCGGTCGTACGATCATCGCCAATATTGCCACAGGCCGCCAGCAGCGCATGCGCAGTCAAAACTGAAGTGCCCTCTTCGTCGGCTGGCGCTGTGCGGTCAGAGCGACGCGAGACAGGACTACCGTCCACGCGCATAGTGTTCTCCATCCTCTGGGCCGAAACACCAGACCGGAGGCGGAGATGCGACGGTCCCGAAATGGATCGATCGACAGGCCTGCCACGGTCGGGAACGTGTGCTTCGCGTGTCGCGGCGGCGGCACTGGCGACGCACGATGCCCGGCGAGCGAATCGCCTACCCGTCCGCTCCGCGGGGCGGGAGGCTGGGAGAAGGACTCGGCCATAGACGCTCGGAGACCGCAACGTGGATGCCGTGTCGCGCCGGAGCGTGGTGGGCCAGGACGAGCGGACCGACACGCTGGCCAAGAGTGCCCAGCTGTCCGCAGCGCCAGAGACGCTCCATGGCTCGAGGCCGTGCGCAGATGTGCGGCGGCGGCAGGGCTTCTCTTCTCGCTCCGGCCGGGCGAGGAGGCCCCCAAATGCAGCAGCCCTGCCCCAGCGCACCGCCGTCGTGCCTCGGGGCCTCCCGTCGCACCCTGGGGGGGCGGGGGGGAGGATGGGCGGCCGACGCGACACTGCTGGCCCAAAGCAGGGAGGCAGCGCCACCGCACAGCAGCCTCGCCCGTGCCCGGGCCCCGCTGAACAGGTGGAAGTCCAGCGGCAGGACGCCCGCGAGAGTCGAGGCTGAGTGGTGCCGTTTGGTGGCTCCCCCATAGTGAAGGGGCCCTGGGACACACAAATAAATACACACAATTAACAGGATCCCCCATATTTTCCAATATGTTCTGGGTTTTTGTCTTCCCCCCCACTTCCCATAGTTTCCCATCTTCTCCTGGGAATCGACGATGGATTGTGTCTGTGTGTTTTTTCCCCTCCTGACATAGGACAGGACAGCCGATGTGCGCCCCGGGGGGTGGCCCTCTAAGAGCTCGGCGGGGGGCGCCGGAGCGCCGAAACTCAGATGTCGTAGTACATGGCCACTTCACGATCTCGATTGTGTGTACTATGGGCTTCGCTGGTACAGTCCTTCCCATGAGTTGCCAAAGTGGTATGCCTGCCACCTCGCGGTGGCTCTGATCGTGCGAGTAGGAAGAGGAGGGAGGAGGCGGGAGCGAGGAGGCGTCGGCGCGACGCGACTTACAATAAATGCACGACTTGGGATCGGAGGGAAGTATCTCCGCAACACCCTCCACGAGACTGAAGGGGCCCTGGGTCACACAAATGAATACACACAAATCCCAGGATTCCCCTGTATGTTTCCATATTTTCTGGATTCTTGTCTTCCCCCCCACCTCCCATATTTTCCCATATTTTCTCAGGAATCGACGATTCATCGTGTCTGTGTGTTTTTTGTTCCCTCCTGAGAAGTATCTTCGCAGCATCCTCCACGAGACACGCAACCCGCCCTCGCTTGGACGCCCATTCCCTGTGCATTGTTCGGCTTCGTGCGCATATTTTTCCGCAGCGTGAACACACATGCTCCTCGATGGCCCTTGCGGATAAGAAATACACAAGTCCGAGCGATGCCAAGGCAACTGCCTGCACGAGGACACAGTGCTGCCGTCGGGCCCCTGCTCCGAGCACGCTCGGCGGAAGCTGGCGGCAATCACGCTGGCCCAGTGTGCCGGGGCATCGTTGCGGTGCTGACTTTCGTCGAGCTTCCATCCGGTTCGCCCATGACAGGGAACCGAACTCTATACACCAACGCTTTTTCCGGCCCTTGAAACTCTCAGAAGGATGCGGGTCCTGGTGTATACGGGATCCTGGTGTATGCATGTTTCGTTGTTCCCCTTGGAAAACTGGGGAGAAGTACATGCCACCCACCCCGACGTCGTCCCCGACCCACAAAAAGTCGTGGGATTGAGACAAAACCCGCCACTGGTAATGTGGATGTTCCAGATTCCGATGCTGGGGCATTGTTGCGATGCTGACTTTCGTCGAGCTTCCACTCGATTCGCCCATGACGTCCAGCCCCCTCCTCTGAATCAGAAAAGCCAGCTTCGGCTGAGACATCCTCGCGATTCGCTCCCAAACGGGCCACGGAGTCCAGGTGGCGCTGGTAGTGTGCTGCCCGCGCCGAGGCGAGAGCGCCGTTTGGGTGGACTGTCGGCCACTGCACGGAAGTTCGGCCAGACGGTCGGAAGAAAGAAGTCAACACATGAAACAGGAACACGGATACAGCAGCTTGGGTTCCGGTCCTCACAGAGGAAAAACATAAGACAGCAAAAGCATACCGATCCTTGAAGCAGGAAGTCGCTTGAAATAGATTAGGATTTGGGAATCCCAGAACTAACTACTTTCAACGACCAGCGATCAGCGTCTTGCCATCGCTCAGACGTCCGTTCCTCGTGCTTTTGTCGGCTCCGTGCGCGTATTTTTCGCAAGATGGTCCAGGATGCTCCTCGATGGCTCTCGCCGAGGAAGACATGCACACATCCGAGCGATGCCAAGACGTGCAAGGGCCTCGTTGCGCAGAGACAGGCCCCCCAGGGCAGCCCTGGCTGGCCTCACAACCTTCCCTCCCCCGAGGGCCCGGGGCAGCGCGGAGCGCCCCGAGGGCGCCGCCGTAGGCGGCGCTGGGCTGTTGAGACAAACCAAAACTACTCGGGGAGAGTGCAGTGGCCAGCAGGGGCTTCTGTCGGGGATACATAAGACTCGGGTTTGGGGGGGACTCGGGATGGCCCGACGGGGCCATCACGAAAATGGCGCGGCCCAGTCTGAAACTTGACGCGAGCTCCCGCTGCAGACGTCCCAAGAAAACTGCACTGCCTAAATTCAGGGCGGGCTCGTCAAAAAACATGGGCGGAGCCGAGTTCCGCCGTACTCGAATCTTCCTTTTCCCTGATACTAGAGGCCGCCTAGATGGGGTCCGAGTAAATGGGGCCAGAGGATCGCGCCGTATCGCCGATGCAACGGCGATGCATCGGCGGTGCATCGTCGGTGCATCGGCGATGCATCGGCGACGTCGGCGGTGCTTCGGCGCCGTCGGCACATAGAAAATCGGGATCCACATCGAGCCGCATCGCCGATGCATCGGCGATGCGGGGCGATCCACCGACCCCATCTTCTCCGACCCCGCCTGGGAGGCCTGGAACTTCCAGCGAAGGCTGTCTGCGCGCAGCCAGGGGCCCTACGAGAGCCAGTGCCCAACGTTCGGGGCCAAGGGTCGAGCTTCCTTCGGAGGCCAGCCTGACCGCGGCGCCGCCCCCTTCCCTGACGAACGGACAACACCCACCCGTACCCATAGGGGGGTCGTTGGGAGGAGGACTGGCTATGGGTATGGGTGCGGGTTGTCGGACCCTGGGGAACGCTCCCGTTCGAGCGGGGACCCCCACCCGACAACACGCACCCATAGCCCTCTCCGATCCCCCTATGGGTATGGGTGTGTGTTGTTGGTTCGTCATTCCCCCCGCGGCACGCCTGCGCATTGAGCAGCGTGCGGAGGAGCTCCGGGAAGACGCCTGGCGGAGCGGGGGGGGGAGGTGGGGCAGGTGGAGAGCGCAGGGCCGTCGAGAGGAAGCACGAGACGAGGAGGGCGTCCAGAGTTGGTGTGCACAGCGGCGTGGATGCGCTGCACGCAGGGTGCAGGGTCGCCCTGGCATCTGACATGATTGCGCCCTGCTCCCCGCCCGGTCCTCCCAAGTAGTGATCCCACGCGCGCGCGAAGGCGAGCTGGCATGCTCGAGTGGCGCTTGGTTGGCCCTCGCCCATGTGAGAGGATAGACGGCTGCAGCGGGCATGTCCCTTCCTGCTTGGAGTCGCGCAACCAGCCCTCTGGGTGGGGGGGGTTCGGGGCATCCCCTCTTCCAAAGCAGCACTCTTTGCCGTCTGGGCAGTGGGGTGTACCCTCTCCCTGAGGTATGGGCCAGGGCGGTGGCCGTACCTGGAGCGTCCAAGACGGCGTCACGATGAGACCAGATGACTCCGAACGGCATGAAACCCGACTGGACAAGATCGGGAGGCCCGCAAGACGAAGAACAAGGGAAGGGAGAACGACAAGGAGGCGGGATGAGGAGGCCAGCGTGGAGGGCGAGGGGAAAGCGAGGACCAGGAGGGCGAGGAAAGCGAGGAGGGATCCCAATCCGCTCAGACTGATCTCCCATGCCCCGCTGGGGTGCATCGTGGCCAGCCGTCCGAGCCGCAGCCACGGCGACGGGAACCTCGACAACGACCGACGTCGACGAGATCGACGACGTCCAAAAACAACGAACACACCTTCGAACATCTGCAAAACATACATGGCGGCGGGAGCCTCGAACACGACGACGTCGACGAGGTCGACGACGTCGAAAGGCAACCGAAACGCCTTCGACCATTCGACAACCTTCAAAAACGACGACGCCGAAAACAACAACGTCGAAGACGACCTCCGAAAGCCGTCGAGAGACTTCCGAAACGCCTTCGACCATTCGACAACCTTCAAAAGCGACGACGTCGAAAACGACAACGTTGAAGACGACCTCTCAAAGCCATCGAGAGACAACCGAAACGCCTTCGACCATTCGACAACCTGCAAAAGCGACGACGTCGAAAACAACAAAACCTCGAAGACGACCTCCGAAAGCCGTCGAGAGACTTCCGAAACGCCTTCGACCCATTCGACAACCTTCCAAAGCGACGACGTCGAAGACAGCAACGTCGAAGACGACCTCCGAAAGCCGTCGAGAGACTTCCGAAACGCCCTCGACCATTCGACGACCTCCAAACACGACGACGCCGAAAACAGCAACGTCGAAGGCGACCTCCGAACGCCGTCGAGAGACTTCCGAAACGCCTTCGACCATTCGACAACCTTCAAAAACGACAACGCCGAAAACAACAACGTCGAAGACGACCTTCGAAAGCCGTCGAGAACGACGACGTCGACGACATCGTCGACGACGACGAGAACGACGACGTCGAGAACGACGACGACGACGACGACCTTCGACGGCCGTCGAGAACGACGACGTCGACGACGTCGTCGGCAATGCGGCGGGCGGCGGGCGCCCGGGTTGGTCCACGCGCAGCTCTGGCCGCTCAGCGGCACCACCAGGCCGAGCAGGATGAAGAGCGTCGAGGCCACGAGCATCGTGAGGGAGGCCTCGGGGGAGGGGCTGCGATCCGCAACCCCGGCCAGGTGGCCTCCCTGTATCCTCCTCCTCCTCATCATCATCCTTCGCCTCCTCCTTCTCCTCCTCCTCCTCTTCCTCCTCCGCCTTCTCGTCGTCGTCTCCTCCTCCTCCTCCTCCTCCTCCTCTTCCTCCTCCTCCTCATCATCATCATCATGAGCCCTTCCCGCCACCTCCAGAATCCTTTCAAAGCCTCTGGTGGCCAGAAGACCCCTCCTCGTCCTTTCTCCTGGTTCTCATCCTCCTCCGCCTCAACCTCCTCCATGACCATAATCATAATCATGACCAGCATCATCACAATCATCACCATGATCAGCAGCATCATCATCACCACCATCATCATCACCATCGTAGTCATGATCGTCACACTCGCAATCAGGATTGTTATTATCATCGTCACCACCATCATCAGCACCAACATCAGTTTCATCATCATAATCGTGATGACTATCTGCATAATCATGATCATCACCACCACCATCAGCATAACCACCACTACCATCATAGCACCACCAGCACCTTTATCAGCGTCATAATCATCATCACCATCATCATCCAAATCAGCATCCTCATCAGCATCAGCATCATCGGACTCAGCATCATCACCACCAGCATAATCATCACCATCACCAGCATCATCAGCAGCACCAGCATCATCAGCAGCACCAGCATCGGCATCAGCACCAACATCAGCATCAGCATCATCTGCATCACTCTGAACATCAGCATCAGCATCAGCATCATCACCATCAGCATCATCATCATGCTCATCATAATCATCATCATCAGCAGCAGCATCATCATCATCATCGTCTTCATCATCACCATGAGCATCATCATCATGCTCGTCTCAACTCCGACAAGGTCGCACTCATCATATCAACGAGCGACAGGATCAGCTTACATTCGGCAGTGGGAGGTCGAGCAGCAGACGAAGTCACACAGTCCACCGGATGAGGAGACGCTGTGCTAGCACGACATTCAACGCCTGAGAAACTTAGGCGATGGCTCGATGGCCGATGGGTCCGCCCCGCTGCCCCAGCTTTCATCGCGTTGGCAGCTCATCCGAGACCCAGGCAGGCGATGGCGCGTTGACGGACGGCCCTGTTCCCTGGGCCAAGTTGATGCTGCGCTGCCCCTTTCACTCGAGGTCCAGGAGGACCACGCGCTCGAAGCAGCACCTACTGTCACCGTGCTGCCATACTCGTATGGAAGCAGGACCCGTCGCTACCCCACGCGCCCCAAGGATAGGCAAACAAGCACAGCATAGAAGTACAAGTTTGGAGTTCCGCGCGGATTTCTTGGACCGGCGCTGGAATCCCCCTGCTGGGCGGACGGAGCGCGCCACGGGCGTCGCCGGAGGCGCCGCGGGGGGGGGGGTCCCGAGCGCCGACCCGAGCAATCCTCGCGGAACTCCGAAAGAAGAAGTTCACGTGTATGCCGTCATTTTTCTTCGATGGAAGCGGGACCCGTCCCCGATCAAACTGATCCTCGCGCTGTGATCCTCAAAGGCTGCGTCGACATCTCGCTCGAGAGCCCGCGGCGCTGGAGATCGGAGAAGAGGAAGACGAGGGTGACGAGCGTACCAAGACGAGGATGACGAGGAAAGAAGAGGAGGAGCGAACGTTCGAGCAAACGCCAAACTCGTGAGCGCTCTGTCAGGGAGTCCGGGAGCCCGCCTGTACCCATTAACCGGGCTAAGTCTTTAGACCCCCCCAATAGTTGCCAATAGTTGTGAATTAATTATCTGTTCGGCGACCTTACTGACGGACTGGGGTCCCACCGATATAATTTGTGTTCCACGGCACCCACCGCACAACAACGACGACTACAATTACGATTATGAGTACGACTTCGACTACGATTACGCCTACGATTGCGGCGACAACCACGACTACGATTACGACTACACACGCGGCTACGACTTACCACAGTCACGACTGCAATGACGATTACAGACAGGATTACGACAACGAATGCAATCACGGTTACAAGCGTTTAGGGTAGTCCACAATGTGTACTTCTCTGGGAGAAAGAAGCCCCCACCATTATCCAACAGGCTCAACCATAGAGAACGTAAATCATCTCCTCCGAGGCGACGACGATTACGACTACGATTGCGACTACAACGGCGACTACGATTACGACTACAATCAAGACTATAAACACGATCACAATCAAGATTACAACCGCGACGACAATCACGACTGCAACCAAAAGCACTCTGTTCTGTGGTTACCCCCTGAGAAGAACCTCATACACCCTCTCGCGTATAGGGTGGCCCACAAATATTACCCCCTGGGGGAAAGAACCCCCCAACATTGCCCAGCCCGCCCAACAGTAGAGCGAACAAAGAACCCTTGCGAAGACGACGACGACGATGACGACCACGGGGAGAAGCAGGAAGAGGACGAGGACGAGGAGGAGAAGGATCGGCGACTACAATGGGTGCGGTTTGCAAAGGGTGCGGTTTGCCTCCCATCAGATCTGCCCCTCCCGCCCCCGGGAAACGGATGACACTGTCACTCAATGCGACCCAATCACATGACACTGTCGCTCCTTCTAGTACAGTGGGGCACACATCTAGAATGACAGTGTCGCTCGAAACGAGGACAGTTATGACATTGTCTCTCACAAAGGCCTCGGAAAGGCCGCCACAAAGCAACTCACAAACCGCACCCTGGCGTAACCGCACCAGTTGAGTCGCCGAAAGGAGGAGGAGGCGGAGGAGGAGGAGGCGGAGGAGGAGGAGGAGGAGGAAGAGGAGGAGGAGAAGGAGGAGGAGGAGGGGCGGCGAGCTCGCTCCCCGCCGAGAGCAAATAACGGGGGCCGAGGGGGGGGGGGGGGGGAAGGCAGAGCTAGGCCAGGGCATGGCGTGGAAGCCGCAGCCTCGACACGCGCGCTCCGTCCGGCTGTGGACAAACCTCCCTTTCGTACACCTCCCCTTAACGAAAGGCCTGGGACCGCAACCGACGGACCTGGACCCGCAAAAAAAATGACGGCCGCGATGCCCCCTCGCGAAGTGAAGACGGCTAGGAGGCTTGTCAGCTGGCGGCCACGCCGCGCGGCGGCGCGCCTGCGGGCCGGCGGCGGGCGTGCAAGAGGGCCCGCACGGCCCGGCCCGCCGCGCGGACCGAGCGCCAGACGGGTGCCCGAGAGGGGCCCAGGGACACACACGCACGCACAGAACTACACGCACACACACCCAGGCTCCCCACAGTCTCCCATGTGTGGTTTTTGCCTTCCCCCCCCACCTCCCATAGTTTCCTATATATATATATATATATATATATATCTTCCTGGGGGTCGACGGTGAGTTGTGTCCGTGCTTTCCTGGGGGTCGACGATGAGTCGTGTCCGCGCGTGTCTTTCCCTCCCAGAACTCCGGCCGCCGACAGGGCAGGGGGTGTGCAGGACCTCCACGAGGGAGCCCGAGCGGAGGAGGTCGGAGACGACCGCGCCGCGTCGCCGAGGTATCCGCGACGCGGCTCGACGTGGCGCCCGACCTCCTCCACGCCGAGGTCGCCGACGCGTCGCCCACGTCGCCTGTGCAACGACGACGACGAACCAGGGCGCATCGGCGATGCCGACGAACCGAGAAAATAGTTGTTTCGAGTCCTAAGCTGGTATTTAAAGAGACTTTCGCGTTGTACTCTGAGCACTACTTCGCGTGACACGAGCTCTACGAGGTCCCTGGCGGTAACCTGGTTGACGGTTTACAGCCGGCTCCAGTGCCTCGTAGAACTCTTCGGTATCGATGAGCTAGAGGAAATCCGGCGCGGGGTGGAGCTAGTACCTCGTAGAACTGGGGCGCATGGGCGATGCGTCGGCGATGCGGCGCGACCCTCCGACCACATTCACCCAGACCCCATCTGGGAGGCGTAGAGAGAAGGCGCAAACTCGGCCCATGTCCGGCGCTTCGGTGGCGCGCGGGCGCGGCCGCGTCAGGTCTGAGCGCCGATGGGCTTCCCCCGATCGACTTCGGTCCTGCACGAACCTGCAACGCGAGGAGCCCCCCCTCCCCCCCGAGGCCTGAACAAAAACGAAAGGCCCCCAAGAACCTTAATCCTCAGAGCTCGATCCGGGAACCCCGAGATCCGACGCCACGAGAAAGAACTGCTATACTGTTATAAACAAAAACTGGACCGGATCCCTGGGCCCAATCGTTCTCAGCTATTTTCCGCGCGCTATTTTCCGCCTGTCAGACTGGACACAGGGATGAGGGGCAACGCTAGGGGGGGTCCGCTCATGGGGCTTAACATCGAGCGTGCATCGGCGATACAAATATTCTTACCCATATATTTTTACTATCTCAGGGCCCCCCTTCCTCCACCTCACCCCCCACCCCTAAACCGGACCACCCCCCCAGGGACGCCCCGGACGCCCTTTCGGACATCTCGGCGGCCCCCTGGACGCCCCTGGAAAAGGTCCGCTGGCCCTTCCGGGCCTCCCAGGGCTCTTTGCTGGGGCTTGCGAGCAGACTCAAGGCGATCAGAAGGGTCATCGGAGAGGCGCAAGAGAGACCCACGACAGCACAATA